GATTATTTCCGACAGACGTTCATGTTCATAGCTCTTTCTTTTTTTTTTAAAAAACATTTCTTTCCTTCAAAATTGATTTGATCATTATAATTTTTTTCATATAAACAAAAACAATTTACTTACTTTGTTTCAGTGCATTTAGTGTCAGCTCCACTGGTGAGAACCAAAATGAGAACATAAATGTGGTTTTACTATAGAAATGGTTTGACAATCTGGAAGTGATTTTCAATTGTTAGACACATTTTAATGTTATAAACCAATAGAGCGGTAATAGAATGAATGCGGAATAACTTGGCACGTGTGGGTGGTGTTATTTCAGTCATGCTGATTTCGAAGTTTCGTGAGCACATTGTTGTAATGCCTTCACTCTTCAGGGCTATTGGCTTCTCTGTTCCGACTTCTCGACCTTTTCGTATTTATCCATAGTTTGGTGTAATTTGATATCTTTGTGTAAGCTTTTGATTTTATTTTATTTTTATTTTTTACTTAATGGTTGTTTTATAATCGGTTTTCATCATTAGGTTTTTCGCAGTTTTTTATGTGGTGTAGAGTTTCTTGTTGATTTTTAATTTACGGTATAGTCGAATTTGTATCCCATACGGAACCGTCATTTAGCCTGAAGTGTTATGATCGTTCACCCACAGAGGACTTCCGGTTTAGCGAAGCTCGAATTGCTGCTTCGCCGATTTTTCTCGATCTATCACATCTGCTATGAATATTGTAGCCTAACGAAAACAATGATAATATAATATATGAAATAGATTAAATCCAACAAATATTTTAATATATTTTCTTTTTATGCGTTTTTTATAGATGCACTTATTTGAGTAAATTTAATGTTTTTTAATTAAACAATATTAATTACATTTACCGGCTTGAATTTGTTAGACTTGGGCATCTCATGAATTATCTTGATCTATTTGAATAAGATTTAAGAAATATCTGATCATGTCGTAATTATATTCTAATATTAAATATGGCTGGGGAAATATTTCTTTTTACATTATTTACACTAGGATATTTGTCCTCATCTTTGTTATTGTAATGTTTCAGTCGTAGTGCCCTACAGTCTTTATCAGGGTAACCTTTAAGGAATTTCAAACTGAACACTTTATTTAATCTACACTTGAGAGTAACTCTCTAATACCTCGACGATAGAAATCACGGGGTTTTGACTCATCAAGCCATGTTTTAAGCTCCACATCGTTGTTGAACGAATCACCCCTCAAATTTTTAGAAAGTGACCGAAGGTGGTAGTCTGAAAGGTCTGAATCAGGCGAAATTTGGTGAGTGGTAGAAATTCCCAAATCGACCACTTTAATTGCATATATATTTTTTTAAGCCTTTCACCCCAAGCAAGGCGGGAAGCCACTAGGACGCAAGGGCTTACATAAAATTTGGAGCAAGATCAGATAGGAGTGATAGAGGAAAGGATGGGGAGAAGGATAGTGGATAGATCAAGGCAACTGGAGATGTCGATTGACATTACATTTGAATAGTTGGAGATTATAGCTCTCAATGAAACTGGAATAGGGAAGAGAGTTCCACAGGCGAGAGGTGCGAGATATGAAGCTATTGGAGTAGAAGAGACGGGTACACTTAATAGTTTCGACAGTGAAGGGGTGAGAGCGGGATGCGAGCCTCGTAGGGCGCTTGAATTCATGAAGTCTGGGAACCAGCGAATGCAGCTCCTCGGAACAATTACCATGAAAGTATTTGTAAAAAAGACAGAGAGAGGCGACGGTGCTTCTGTGAGAGAGCGACTGTAGACGAGATGCCAGAACAGGGCCAATTATATTGCATATCCGCCTCTGGATATTTAGTCGTGTTAGTGACTTGTGTACCGGTATTGTCGTGTTGGATAATTGAACTGTATCGCCAGTCAGTTCTTTTCATCTGAATTGCCTCTTTGAGCCTGAACATTTGTTTAACATACAGCTTATCATTAGCGATTGTTTGTTTTGGAGTATTTCATAGGGAATTAGTCCTTGCTAATCGCATCAAACTCGGATCATTTGCTTGCGTGAATGCAGCTTTGATTTGGTTCGGGGCTTTGCCTGCTTGTCGGAAATCACCTACATTCTTTTCTCTCTATTTTATATTCACGTAAAGACACCATTTTTCGTCCCCGGTGTTAATATTGGAAAAGAACCTTTCTTTTTATCAACGAGTAAGCCTGGTGTTGAGCGAATAGACTAACGACAATGTAGGAGCATTGGTGCTTGTTACTCTCTATCAGTGCGTGTGACACCCATTTACCGTGTTTCTGGAAATTACCCCTAGATTAAAAATGACGAGCGACATGAGAGCTTGCCATCTTCTGAAGCAGTTTTTTTTATTTGTCTGGCGTTGTTCTTCTTTAACCAGCGTGCACAACTGGTTCTCATCAAACTGAACAAGTCGGTCAGGACGCGGACAGTCTGTTAGTTCGGAGGGAAACCATTTCTACGCCATTCTGACAGTAGAGAATGTTAGACATTTTCATGACGGTCGTCTTTCAGTATAGAATCCAGAGGTTGGCAGTGAATATTTCGGAGACAGTAGGAAAGCGTAGTGCAGGTTCGCAGTGGATATCGTAGCAGAGCGTAGTTCTTACTTCTGGCATGTTCGCCTGACAAGTTGGCTCTGGTCATTCCGGTAGGGTAAACAAGATGGCCGCCTTTATACACGACGGATATAGTGTTCTACGGCTTCTGATTGGTTAATCTTCTATTGGTAGACTATAAATGGAATTAAGTCATTCTGACTCGCTCACTAGTCATGTTCATATATACACAAAAAAAACTGTAACAGAGAACTCCTCTCCGGACACAGCACAAATGTCTCGAAGAGCTTTGGAAGTTTTGCGACATTGATTAAAAGCACAGAGAAGATACCAAACATGCTCATTCTTGCCTGCTTGGAACTCCATCTCAAATTTCAATAACGTTAGAAAATAGTTTCACATGATGACCAGAGTTAAAAAAAAAAAAAAAAAAAAAAAAATGCCACGAAAGTTTATTCGTCGAAATCATTCGCAGAACATCAAAAAAAAATTATATGTACGAGGGTAAATAAAAACTTATCCACACTTTTACTATAACATATCTTTGTCTAATTGCCTTCTGCTCGTGTGTGCTTATAAAGGGTGTTTCATTAAGACGGATCAAAGTCAGCAGTAAATAAATCAGTGTTATTATTGAAAGTTTATTTCTCTATTGGATCGTGTTATTTAAGTCATGGCAATTATGTGTGAAAAATAATCTCGCCCAAATATCCGCCAAGGCTTCGGCGGCACACCTCCACTCGATGGTCAAAATTTTTGATCATGTCTCTGCATAGTTGCTGCCTGATCTCACCAATATGCTTATTATCTCATCCTTCATCTGTTGAATTGTTGTTGGCTTGTTGGCATAGACCTTACTTTTGAGATCATCCCAAAGGGAAAAGCCTAAACGTGTCAAGTCGCACGATCCTGGTGGCCAATTGATTTCGCTGTTTCAAGAGATGATGCAACCTGGGAACTTCTCATTCAAATTCTGTTTGAACGTCTATTTTCTTAATAGGCTTCGATAGCTTTAACACTTTGTTTGATTTTTAATATTTCCATGGTTAAAATTGCCAAAGACTGTTAAATCTGAAAGAAATAAAAAATCATTAGACTCTTAATCTTAATTCACATTTAAAATCGATCCAAGTTATTGGAACACCCTTTATATATATATATATATATATATATATATATATATATATATATATATATATATAGTTGGTATTGCTATGAACACGGGGTCGAAGCTTGACTTTGATCGAAACAGTTTCCTTGCTGCTGTTACAGTGTAAACATGGCCGCTCTGCTAGCAGTGTGCACCAAGCAGGAACAAAGACTAGAGATCCGAATCTGCAAAGAACATGTGACCTCATCGATAGTAAAACGTCGGTTCGCTGTAGTCGGTATCATGAAGCCAATGTGAAGGATCTTCATAGTATGTGCTACGCGAGGGTAACATACAGTTTTGAATTCAGAGTTACTACAAAAATCGGTTGTCATCCAAGGCTATAGAACCCAGTCTGTCCTGCTATTTACCTATACTTGGGATAAGAGGAGGATTCATTCCTTTCCCAAGGGTATTAGTCTATCCTCTATACTATACTGATCCTCATTTCTACTCTATCCTCTATTACTATACGGACCGCTATTCTCTACTCGATTCACTATACTATTTCTGTATTCGGATCACTATACGGACTACTATTCGAGCGAGTATAATCGTGTAAGTACTATTAGCGCGAGGGATATTCGAAGGCGTCTGACACCAGTATTGTTCAACGGCGTTACTATAGAGAAAAAGCCAGACGAGGCTATGCCAAAGGGCAGAGTCTCGTTTGGGGTGGTAGACAGCTATCCGACCCCATTTTTACAGGGTATACGGGGAATTTTTGCCCGAGCCTACGGGTTCGGATACCCAACAATAAACTCGGCCTTGTGCCACATCCGACCGCGTGGGTCGGATAGTGAATATCTCACTCTACGGTGGTTACTATTCGAGCGAGTATTATTGAGCAATTACTATTAGTGCGAGTGATATTCGAAGGCGTCTGACACCAGTATTGTTCAACGGCGTTACTATAGTTATATTTGCGATTACAAAGTCTCTACTACAACTAGCATTACGAAAGTAAGAACGAGTATTCGTTGACATCACAAAACTTTACTTATTAAGGAATACGGACACAGATTTGGTGGATCCATTTCGAGGAGGCTTTCTTTCTGCTAGACCAGCTTAGGTGCTATTTATCTACAAGACAACTGCACAAAACTTAGATGAGATTTTATTCTAAGCAACGTTTTTTTTTTTTTTTCTGTTTTTTCTTTTATTCTTAAATTCATCTTAGCTTTACGGGCCAGTAACCAAGCAAGCATTTGAGCCGAAAAAGCATTAATCGGCTTTAGCTCCGCTAATCTTACGGGGTCAATGTTCATCCGTGAAAAGTTTTATGGACGCAATAAAAACGCAAACGGCGGAGCCGGGCGAGAAAAGGCAAATCAGAGTCGAACTCTGTATTGTGTTCACTGTTAGCGAGTCGGCCGGACAGGGTGGGAAGAAACTGGGGCAGGTTACCGACAGGCCGAAGGAATATATGGATTTTGTAAAAGACTGCGGGCTGGAAATCATGCGAATGGGACGACACGGAAATTTATTTTGGCATGGAGAGTTAGCATTTGGCGTCACATCGATCAAATCTAAAGCCCACAAGATGATCGCCGAGGGATTAATATCATCCTTGATATTTGCTCGATTGAATTCCGGCCCCCTAAGCACTTTCGAATTGGCTGGCATTTGCCTTTCGAATATTGAAAATCGGTGCGGCCGTAATAAAACCTACGGAATTTTTGCAGATAGAAAAGGTCAAGATTTTATATCTCAGCAAAGTCACTGCACTTCAATGTCACCAAAACAGCATATGCATGTACAACACACACACACACACACACACACACACACACACACACACATATATATATATATATTTAGTTTGTTGATAGATGTGAGTTTGTGACCCTGGAATTTCAAGCGTGAAACCCAGGGTCACAAACTCACATCTATCCAACCAAATATGTTAGCTCTATCTGTGATATTGAGCGCTTTCTAATAAGTACCGCGTATAATATATAAATAATTATATATATATATATATATATATATATATATATATATATATATATATATATGTATGTATGTATTTATATACACACACTTTTCACAAAATATATATATATATATATATATATATATATATATATATATATATATATATATATATATATGTACCGGTGTAACAGCAAAATAGTCCATATTGTGTTACAGCATGGGTTCATTGCCCTCCCACAAAATGTTTAATATCTTAAAAAGTACTAAAATAATTGAGTTTCTTTTTTCCAGGTTTTCCGATAATACGTTTAGCTATCTTGACACCAATTTTTCGTAAGAATCACTGAAAAAACACTTTAAGGTTTTTCAGCTAAAAAGAGAACAGGTTAAAATCGTTTTGTGCCAGCCCCACTGACGTCCTAAATGAGCAATGGTGAAAGGAAAAAGATCATTCAGTCCTTCAGTAATTGTACCAACATTCATACTCTGGCTTCCTTCCTCAAAGTCCATTCAAGAATCCTCAAGAGAATGGTGAATAATTTAAAAAATAGGTAACAATAGGGAGGAAAACTGGATCGGGAGGTCATAACAGCAAGAGGGGTCATTATTTCAACTTAGAGCTAAATACATTCTTATTGTTGAAAGTAAAGTCCAGTAGTAGAGAATTCCAGTAAGATATCTTTAATCATTTCTAAGATAAAACGTTTCAAATCTTAATCTAGCAATGGGACAATCTGCTGTTACACGCTTTGGAAAATTTTGCTGTTACACCCGGGATATACTATGAAAGGTGGCTCTAGTCGTAACTCGAATTTCACATTCAAGTCGTCTGAATATCGCATGAGTGTGAAACTCAGGTTACGACTAGGGCCATCCTTTCATGGGATTTAACATTAGTAAGCGTTTTTTGCTCGGTCTAGGCAATTTGGGCATCGAGCACTTTACTGAATAGGTAAGTTTGCTTTTAGGCCTTTTTTTCTTTCTTGTTTTGGCAAGTTGTCGGTTTTTGTTATTTTTAACACACACACACATACACACACACACACAGACACACACACACATATATATATATATATATATATATATATAGCCTTGGATGGCAACCGATTTATGTAGTAACTCTGAATTCAAAACTCTATGTAACCCTCGCGTAGCACATACTATACAGTTAAAAAAGGATCCTTCACATTGGCTTGATGATACCGACTACAGCAAATACCAACGATATATATATATATATATATATATATATATATATATATATATATATATATATATATATATATATATTCTAAAAAAATGTTATTTTTATTTTCCATAATTATGAAAAATAAAGTATATCTTTTTTTTACATCCACATTACAACCAAAAACATTTCTCTCTTCTTTTTAATATACACTTTTCTCTCGTTGGAACTACTATAACCTCTTCCCTTTACATACATACATATATATATATATATATATATATATATATATATATAGAGAGAGAGAGAGAGAGAGAGAGAGAGCTAGTAAGAATAACAAGAAATACGTCTCGTGACGCCGACCTATCACACTTTCTCTGAGGTCCATATCAAAATGCAGAAAATATGGTTACTGTAAATAAATTCAGTTTTAACACTGCCATCCCCTGAGAAGTGGATGTAATTCCTAATAAGCTGAGAGCAATGATTTGATAGGTGAAGATTTTATTTCACTTATTACTATTAATATTTGGAATTCATAGGTAGCTATTTTAATGCTTTATCCTTTCTGGATGTCAGTGATCATGGCTTGCATCAAATTGCATTTCTTTATTTTCTGTGAATTGACATGACTTCTTGTTAAAATTGTGGGGTCGCCTCTTCCCACGGTTTGTTATTCAGAGATATCATTCTTCTAGTCTGGTAAGCTTTTCTTAATTCTCTGTTCTTTCAGGGTGTAGGCAATAATGACTCTCCACATGTTCATTTTCTTTATCATCTCCGAATTTGCATGGCTTTGTGGGAAAGGGAGTTGAGTTCTTTCCTGTTAGCTTCTCCACAGCTTGGAATTAAGAGATTTTTTCTCTTAGACTGGCTGACAGCCAGTGCTATAGAGAACGACACCGGACCTACTGTCAAGTTGTTTCCAAACGGTACAGCGGACCTCATAGTTGCGGTGGAAGAGGATAGCCGGTGAGGCGGAATAATTGAAAGACATTCAAAGATTTCCAAACAGTTTCAAAAAATTCATATGCCAAAAATAAATATGATTTCAAAATTTAATATACTGTTGTGGATTACTTACCGATTTTATCATTGTGATATTATATCAAGCATTAAGAATATGGTAACCAGGGTCCGTAAATTGGAGGAGATGGTTATCAATGATTCCAAAATGTAAATGTTATAATGGATTACTTGTAACTGAATGCATGAGTTCCAGTATAAATAGTTATAGGTCTTTACTCCACAGCTTATGTTTACTTATACTTTTTTTGGGGGGGGTCTCTTTGTTTTGAATTATTGTTCCCTTTTATTGGTGTTTGGTCTTTTTTTAAAAATCCTTTTTATATATTTGATTTTTGGTCACGAGGCGTTATTTTTTACATTACTTCGGTTTGCTTTACATATATATATATATATATATATATATATATATATATATATATATATATATAAAGAAAGAACAGTAAGATATATAATCCGGTGTTCTTATAGATATTTTTATTTTTACAAAATAGTGCTCAATGTAAATTTACAGAGCATTAATATTATAAATTAATTGATTTATGGTTTTTCCGCTACACAGTTCTAACCATGTTTCAAAAATGGAAGGTCCGAATTTAATTTTGTAATTAAATTAAAGACCTTGGAAACATGAATTATGCTTTTAGCTGTGTCTTTAAAACCCAGTAATTTTAAAAGTTACTCCAAAATTCGCTAGAGGATGAAATGGAACTAATGTATTTAATTTAATTACAAAATTAAATTCGGACCTTCCATTTTTTTGAAACATGGTTAGAAATGTATAGCGGAAAACCATATGTTAAATCACTTAATTTATAATATATATATATATATATATATATATATATATATATATATATATATATATATGTGTGTGTGTGTGTGTGTGTGTGTGTGTGTGTGTTCCCGACAGAATTATGGGATAACTAACGAATAGACTAGGAAAACGTTTATAAATGTAGCGATTTTCCAAGCGTAGCTTAGATGTGGCACAAGGCCGAAAGTAGGGGGCACCCAGTGAGGATCGAACTCACTACTCGGTCGTAAGTGTTCTAGCGAGACAAGCTTGTTAACCATTACACCGCAACAGGGTGCCCGAACTTTTATAAATGTAACATGTTTCAAGTTGTATGAGGGTGAAACAATTTTTTCACCTCACACAAAACCGCCGGAAATCAACTAGCAAACATGGATAAAAAATCTACATGTGCACGCACACACACACACACACACACACATATATATATATATATATATATATATATATATATATATATATATATTAAGCGTTTTACCCCAAGCAAGGCGGGAAGCCACTAGGACGCAAGGGGTTATAGAGGATTTGGAGCGAGAGCAGATAGGAGTGATAGAAGAAAAGATGAGGAGAAGGGTAGTGGATAGATCATGCAACTGGAGATGTCGATTGACATTACATTTGAATAGTTGGAGATTATAGCTCTCAGGGAAACTGAATGGGGAAGGGAGTTCCACAGGCGAGAGGTGAGATATGAAGCCATTAGAGAAGAAGAGACGGGTACCGCTTTAATAGTTTCGACAGTGAAGGGGTGAGAGCGGGATGCGAGCCTCGTGGGCGCTTGAATTCATGAAGTCTGGGGAACCAGCGAATGCAGCTCCTCGGAACAATTACCATGAAAGTATTTGTAAAAAAGACAGAGAGAGGCGACGGTGCGTCTGTGAGAGAGCGACTGTAGACGAGATGCCAGAACAAGGCCAATTATATTGCATATCCGCCTCTGGATATTTAGTCGTGTTAGTGACTTGTGCAGTCTCGTAGGGCGCTTGAACTCATGAAGGAAGTCTGGGAACCAGCGAATGCAGCTCCTCGGAGCAATTACACCTAAACGTTCCTTGGCAAGGCAGATGCACGTGAGGTCTGCTTAAACAGTAAAAACAAACAACACATCAATTAAAAATGGCAGAATTTTATTTTTCACCTCCAAATTCCATTCACTTAGGGAAGCATTATACCATTAAAATAACTAAGGGAATAAATCATACATAAATTTACTAACTTAAGTTAATTTACTTCCCTTCCCACTACAGTTGGGACAGGAAATATATAAATAAATACGCCAGCAATATATGTAAATACATATTGATAATTATTATATGGTCTTAGTTTTAATAATTCTATGAACTGAAACTTGAATTATTAATGATAAAATGATTATTAAATTATTTAACTATACCGAATTTTAATTATATTTTATTGTATTTTTAAATTTCAATTCATGTTAGATCTATAAAGTTTTCCTATTTATTCCGCACATATATATATATATATATATATATATATATATATATATATATATATATATATGCTTAAGATTTAACAAATAGAAGATATTTTATATATAGTGCTCAATATAAAAAATATTAAAATAATATTAAAAATAGAGCGTTAATGATATTATATGTAAAGATTACTTTGAAAATTTCTAGTCTTCAATTTGAA